AAAAAAATCGAATTTCATCCTACAACTTCGGTAGTTGTTCGGGGTACAGTTAAGGTTTTAACGAAGCTCGAGCGAATACATAATTAGCGAAAAAAAGTTGAAATAAAGTGATTAAACAAAAATTATTACAAATATCATAAATAACAGTTCACAAATGCATATATAGAAATATTTTTTGCAGGGGGGAAATGGTCTTCACAATTTAAAATCGATCGAACACAGTGATATGCTCATATAAACGCGCGCCATCTATCGTAGGATAAATGTACTATGCCAGAAACCTTCGCGGGAGTGTATTAAAAAACTTTCCAAAGTTTCATGGCAATCGGATAAACGGTGTGGTAATGCGTGGAGGACATACAGACAGACACACAGACAGACATACATTTATTTTTATATATATAGATTGCATTCAAGGCTTCAATATTTAATTTTGACCACGGAATTCACGAGTGAAAATATTCTTTCTATGAAAGTTGTAATTCTGATAAAGGACTAATTTTATCAAATTTTTCAAATCTAGGAATTATAGATCTTTTCGTCCATTTCATTAAGCATTTTGATTCATTTGTCAGCTACATTGATTTTTTTTTTTCATTTTTCAATTTCTTCAAGGGTTCAATAGGCGTTAATAAAGACAATAAAGAATTAATGGAACTGTCGAATTTTTCTGTTCCTCTTCCTATATGTTCCTTAACTTCATTAAACTATTCTGTGAACTATAATTTGTGCCGCATCTTCCTTAGTAGAATCCGTTCAAATGTATGACTTTTATCAACCTGAATAAGTATCTCCTAACAAATTACAATATACAAGACTTCTAATTTTCAAAAAACAGGGCTATATAATCGAACCCCCAATAACACCCACTTCTAAACGGCTATTGTTTCAGGATCGTTGAACAAAAATGTATAGTACAGTAAGACTCCGCTTAACACGGTGGGGATGCGTTTCTAGACAACAAAGCGCTAAGCTAAACAGCGTTAAACGAGGTCATTTTAACATAGAGTAAATAGGGATAGGGACCAAAATTCTACAAATTTTACTATAATTTAAGTTGTTTTTATATTAATTTGTATAATAATATATGTTAAATAACACATAAACATATGCACACACAGAAATGTAAAGTTTATTTTTTGTCCTGACTTTTCTGAAATTCTTGTTCTTTTGCAATAAAGTCGTGAAGTTTCATCCGTCGCTTTCTTCTTTCCTTAAGCAAATGTCGGTAGCAGAAGAAGTTTCATTTCCTAGTCCTGCTGTACCGATTAGATTGAGTTTAATCAACCTAACGATACAGCGATAGGCTCTTCTGGTTGAGAATGCTTGGATACCTTCAGTGATAACTTCTTCCACACTTAGTTCATGCAATTATCAGTTAATTTTTGCCAAGCGAAGTCGATATTTCCTATGGCATCCATGATGATATATTTTTTCCAAAATTGCACAAACAGATTTAAAGAAAGTACCCCTTTTCGCCATTTTTTAATCATTGGTTTGTGTTCACAAATAATCGTATTGTACACGAATCAATGAAATGCCGCGATAGTTTAAATCAGCGTAACTTTTGAACTTTTTTTTAGGCTTCGAGCAGATGGCCTTATATCGAATCAGCGTTAAGCGGGGTCTTAACTAAAGAACCTGAAAGCAACGACCATTCCCAACAACAGCCATTTTTCTGTTTCTGCAGTGGCCATTGTTCAGAGGAATGGGTATATATATATATATATATATATATAGATGTACTGATATTTCTACAATGATATTTATAAGAAACATGTAATTCACTGTGCTGTCTGTTTAAGAAAGGTCTTGGAAGAATAGAGAGAGTAAGAAATTTTGTCTGTTGTTTGCAGAATTGTCCACTTAAATCAAGATAAAAAATACATTAGTAGTCTCATTGCTATGCCATGACTTGATGTTTTGTCTGCTAAGTATAGGTTTTCATTAAATCCTGGTAAGATTAGTTTAACTACATACACAATATACAATAATCATCAGATACAATGAAAACTTGATTATCTGAACTTGATGAGACCAAGGTTCTTTCAGATAAACTGTGAGGTTCCAAAATCAAGTTGAAATCAAAATTAAAAATAACCACTTAATAAAACCAATAACCGGTATTAAATAATCGTAAAATGAACTGCAAACGTTTTCAGTTCCTTCCCTAGGACCTTTCTCAGCAGCGATTCGTCTTTAGAATAAATATGAACGAAGACCAGTAAATAGCGATATTCGAAAAATTATTCTTCCGAACNCCGATTGCCAACGACTGACGCTTTCTGCAGGCGGGAAAAAATTCAGGGCTGTGCATGACTGTCCCCTCCACAACTCCACCGAAGGAGGCCTCTCTCGCATCATTGGTTTACGCGGAAAAAAATAAGGTCCGATACTTTTTGAACAGACCTTGTATTTCAAGAAGTTTCCTGCACTCATGAAAACATGATACCATATTTTCATGAATTGTCTGGCATGTTGGTCTGACCAGGGAGACCATGAAATCAGATATTACCTTATGGTAAAAACTGGCATGCCAATTTAAGTGAGGTCATATATCCCTTTCCAGAGGGTGTGTGAAATTCTTATAGGCCAGTTTTTACTCTAAAACCGTGAAATTAAGCATTCCATCAAAAACTATGATTATATGTTTAATTTTTGCATTTTGTCTTCTTTCTAATGACACAGGATAACTTCAAATACATTCTTCTCCAAGAGCATATTTGAACAATTATGCTACTATAAAATTTTGTAAAAACAACCTCTAGTAATACAGGAACAACTATAATAGTCACAGAAACTGTAGTAGTATCTGGATGAACTAAATAGCACACTTTCCTTTCATATAGGTTTTTGGTCTTTTAAAATATAACTGCTGAAGTTATTTAAGGTATGCTACTCATTTCATTCAAAAATCAAATACTGTGATGAATGTCTTTACAAGTTAGCTTTTTCAAAAAATTCTTCTTCATTGTCTCCTTTATAAATAAACTAAATTTGAAAATAATGGATAAAGGGTTTTCAATCAGAAATATCACATATATGAACTTTATGATCATTCTATACATTAAATTTATACTAAACAAACATATAATTTCTTTTTAGGATAAAGGACATATTAATAATTAGCAAATGATATTTAAAGATGAAACTGATGATAATACAATGAACATTATTACAGCACTATTATTTGAATAGAATTTATAAATGACTAAATTAAAAATTCTGTTGAAATTAATGACATATAAACTCAAAATTATTACATTTGGATAAATGATTGAATTTCTAGTAAAAAAATTTAATTTAACTAGTTTTATTACAATAAATATTTACTTTGAGATCAGGAACATCAAACTTGTAGTTGACAGATAAGTTGTTATGCTTGCTAGTTAAATTATTTAATGTTTCAAATGTTTGCTGACAACTTTTTTCGCCAGGTGCAGAGATCAACCAAAATTCTGTCATTTCTTCTAATTTCTCTGAATAAATTCTACATGTAAAATAGATACTTTAACATAAAAATTAGGACATAACAAAATACAATAAAAATCTTTTTATGGAACATACTGAGTCTATACTTCCATAAGCAAAAATAACTTATTAGTTCTTTGATAATGAAACAATATTCTGAAAATGTTACTTATAAATTCAGTTTTACTTATGGAAATATAATGTTAATACTGGAATAAAGAATGAAAATATAATGTTTTTCATATTTATTTTCAATCATTGATAATGTGAGTAATTGAAATAATCAATTAATTAGATTATAAAAATCTGATTGATAATCAGCTGATACCAAATTTGCTTACTACTCTACCCTTAACCTCATTCTCTAAATCTCATAAATACATTCTCTAAGCAGGATTTTTCATAAGTTATGTACCATAGGAGACAGAGCAGAGAAGCATCAGGGGCAAGTGCATCATTTTGAATCTGCAATACAGTCAAATGGAAATTAATTCCACAATATTCATGTGTATGATCAAATCACTTTCAACTAATGTAGGCCCAGCTGCATAATTCTGTAATTTACAACTAGGTATGTTATGAAGATTGAACTTGTTTTATTTAATATATGAAACATTACTGGTTTTTATTATTATTGTGTTTAATTTTACTTAAATAAAACTAAAATTAACATTAAAAAAACTGGTAATGTTTCATGTTCTTGCTATCATCAGCATATCAGATATAAAAAAAAAATTTTCAAATCTCACAAAATGTCAGAGAACTATGTAGCCTGGCCTACATTAGTTGGAAGCAATTCAATCACACATGAATTTTGTTCAGTTAAATTAATTACACAAAATCATACATGTAATTAAATTGCATTTGACAGTATTGTGGTACTGAAATGATGCATTATATAATCAATACACTACACACTTGGCCGATGCTTTGCCACACAATCTTGTTTGGCATGTGACTTATGAAAAACACTGTACTATCACTTGTTCTCAAATATGAACATATCTTATTTTTGGAATGCTGAATAAAGAAAACTTTTTCTCTGCTTTTTTTTATTATAGTATAAACAAACATTTGTGTAATTTTTTTATTACTAATAATTAAAAGCATTTATTAAGTGTTTTATAAGATACTTTAATCATATACTAATTAAATAATAAATTAATTTAGAAAAATCTACAAAAAATGTTCTCAATTGTAAGTTGATTATGACAATTGAAAACTTTGGGGCAAAAACATATTAATTCATTTTTTAAGTTTCTGAAAAAAAGAAAAAATACACCATAAAGTTCTGAATTTGCTCTTTATTTTAGAGTAGGTCACAGTGATTGATGATATGAAAAATTTAGAGGCCAGTCTATGAGAAATTGCAGGTCATGAGTCTGTAAATTATATCTACCTTGTGTGTGTAGAAATTCAACAATGTTCAACAAAGAAACTGAAACTGACCTTGGGGAAAGAACAAAGTTCTTGTCCCAAGGTCTTCAATTAAATCAAAATAATTTCATATCTTTCTAACTTCTTACTGAACTACAAAATATGTTTTATTGTATACACTCATGTCCAAAAGTTAAGCAACAAAGTGAAAAAAGCAGATAAAAAGAAAAATATTTATTCCAAATCAGTGATTTTCACAGAGAATGGGGCATAACAAAAGACACTAGTATAGAGAAATGCAAAGAAAATGATCAATAAATAAATAATAGAGGTATAGGATTTTGGGCCATGAAACAGTTCATTAGTAGAAGTCTATCAATATGGAATGTTGATAGACCTATGGAACCTTTGCTAGAAATAAAAAGCCCTACAATATCCATTCATGCCAAGAATACGATCATCTATGGAGTTTGTGGTATCTGTGCCCATTCACAGAGCAGACATGTTCTTAGTTTGTAAAGGTCCTAGGGAGGATCATGAAGAGAAGTAAATGTCCCCAATGCATTTCTGATATATGCTTGATGGTATTCAAGTTGAGTGATCTTGCTGGCCATTCCGTATGAAAGAATGTTTCCAAGTCTAAGTACTGGCAGACAATGCAAGCCCTGTGAACTCACATGTTATTGTCCATTAAATGGCATAAGGGCCCATGGCTGCAAGAAATGGGAAAACATTGTGCAAGGATGTCATCTCTATACCCCACTGTATAGAAACCAAGGAAAGATGTGGAGATCGGTGTGGCCACTGACAGCAATCTCTGCCAAAACATTAAACATATGACTCTGCATGTGTGCATTTTGTGGATACCACTGGCATGACAGTAAGTTCCAGGCATTTTCCAGACAAATAACTGCTGGGAATCAGCTTTCAGACCAAATTGTAACTCATCCATGAAGAGCACAACACCCCATTGTTGTGGAGACCAGTTGAAGTGATGTTGCGCCCAGTTTAACCAGCCTGTCTCAGGTCAGTCCATAAGTTTGTGCACATTTTTTATGACCTTGAAAAAAATCTTTTTCTTCTTCTTAGAAACACAAATCTAATATGATACTTTTTACACTGAAGTGTGAAATTAGATCTCATTCATATGATACTGTTCAGAATTGGGAACATTTCAATTGTTTATTTTTGTTAAAATGGAAGTAACTGATGAATATAAAAGACATGTTTTATACTTTTTATTTTTAAGTCATGAGAATGCTATAAATGCATCCAAAAAATAAATACTTTACACAATCAAACTAACTAGTGTAAGGACTGTGCATAAGCAATTTGAAAGATTTAGAAATAATGATTTTAGTGTTGAGAACAAGGCTCATAAAGGAAGACCAGCTGACTTTGATGATGATACTCTCTCTGCACTAGTTGAAGCAGAACCATCTTTAACAAACAGTTGATGACATTGCAGAATGTTCAAATTCATCCCATGGAACTGTTCATAGACACCTATAACAGATTGGAAAAGTTTCAAAGCTAGGAAAATGGATATCACACGAACTGTCAATAGCTAATCGACAACATTTGCACGTCTCTTTTATCCCACATTGCTTTAGAACCTTTTCTTCATCAGCTGGTTAGTAAAGACAAAAAATGGATCCTCAATAATAATGAAAAAGACAATGGACATAATTCATTTTAAACTATTAGAACCAAATCAAACAATTACAGCTCAAATGTATTGTGAGCAATTAGAGCATTTATATGAAAGATTGAAAAAAAATCAATCATCATTAGTTAACAGAAAGCAAGTTCACTTGCAACATGACAATGCCAGCCCACATGCTGCAAAGTTCACTGTACAAAAACACAAAAGCTATAAGTGGAAAATTTTACCTCATTCTCCATACTCGTCAAATATTGCTCCCAGTGAATATCATCTTTTTTTTTAGTTTGCAGAACTTTTTAAAAGGAAAAACTTTTAAGGATGATGTAGCACTAATTTGTAAATGATTACAAAATTCCTCACTGAGGAGGTAATGATTCATAATAAGTTACAATATCAGGCTACAGAAGAAGATTTAGTAATTTAACCTTTAATTTCTTAAGTTACATGGGCAATGATGCGATATTACTGGTTTAACACAGAATCAACATGTGTGTACACACAACAAGGTTTGAACTGAAAAGTGAGGTTTTTGAGTTGGGTTGCCAGGTCTGTTAAGGTCTTGGAGTTCCACCTGGTGGTGACTTTTGAATTTATGACTGAAAGTGTTGCCACAGACGAGAATAATGTCAAAAATGCTATTTCTGAATATTTTGATTCAAAACCAAAATCATTTTATGAAGACAGGGTTAAAAAGCTACCATCAAGATGGCAAGACATTGTACAAAATAATGGTGAATACAATATAGATTGAAATAAAATTTAAATTTATTTCAATTAAATTTTAATTAAAATTTTTTTGTTGTTTTTTTGTAGATAAAAATATGCATAAACTTATGGACTTATCTGATATTTTAAAAATATAATTGAGGAAAAATAGCCTGCTGTAATCCGATAGTTGTTTGGCTAATTATAAATATGTCAAGTTTCAAGACGTTAATGCATCTTATATTCCTTAAAATGCAGTATATTCTATGAATTTAAAATGTACCTAATGTTTTTTTCTTATAAGTAATTTTATAATTTAATTTTGAGCTAAATTATTACATAAATAGAACTTGATAATACTGTATATTACATTTCTATTGATTATAGTGTTTAAATAATTATATATTGATAAACAATTGAATCATACAAACTTATCAAATTGATATAAAATAAAATCAATATAATTCATCTGATATCAGTTTAAATGTTACTAATTTAATTTTGATGAATTTTAACATGTATGAAATCATAAAATATAATGAACTTTCTAACCACACCAGGTTGTATATACTCAAAATACACAACAACCGACAAATAATCAATAAGAATCCAGTTATAATGGAAGATATAAAAATAAGCCTGAAGAAGAGCCCAGGAGAGGCATCGAAAATGTTCGCTGATTTTTTGAAGAAGTTCACGCCAGTTATTGGTTATTTGTAGGTTGTTGTGTATTTTTCATAAAATTTAATAAAAATATACCTGTTTTAAAATTCTTAAAATGTATTATACATTTATTAGAGAAATTTCAATTAATATCAAAAATAAAATGATTCAGAAGACACATTACAAACGATAAAATTATTTAAACTTACTTATAAAAATGAGTTTCATAATATTGATTTTAGTTAAGATTTTAATAAAGATCAAAATGTGAAGTAGTATAAGAATTTTTAAACTTATACGTTCAAATTTGATTAAATCAAATCATCAGTTAAATAGATTAGATAAACATATTATTATTATTCTCTTTAAAACTTACATTTAAATTAACATTAAAAAAAATAGTTAATTTGAATTTTTAACTATAAATTTAGATAATTCAAAGCTAGTATAGCTCATACTACTGAAAGAAAAAGTAACTATATTCAACTGATTTATAGAATATATTTTGGGATTTCTTAAAAAGCACACAATCTGTAAACCTCTGAGATGGGGGTAAAATTTATTGTCACGTGTTTCACAATTTTAGTGACAGCATAGTTGCTTAGCTA